GTGTGTGTGTGTGTGTGTGTGTGTGTGTGTGTGTGTGTATGTGTGTGTTTTCATGCAATATATTATTTTTTCATACATAACTATTCAATTACAATTTTCATATTTAATTAATTATTATTTTTAATTTATTTATTACTGTTTAATATTATTATTATTACTAATGTGAATATTATTTTTATACAATGAGTTAACATTATATTATTATATAATTCTGATTTAAAAATATACTTGCTATAAACAATTTTTATGACCGAATTATGGTTTGTTTTTTTTAGAAAAATCATTTTGTAACTTTATAAAAATTCAAATTTATAAACGCCCTTCCAATCCACAACATGGCGGCGAGTGAGTGATCTGAGATCCACCTACTATCAAAGATGCCGACGTTCAGTGTTTCTACTGTATGTACTTACTGTAGTAGTAGCATGTTGGAGCACGCGACGCGAACAAACCTTTAGAGTCTCTATGGATCTAGGGATTCTACTGTTTTCGTCAAACTTGAGTATCAATCATGAAATTTTTTTCCTAGGATAAAAATAAAAAATTTTTTCATTAACTTCAATGATTAAAATTTGTATTTTTTACTTTTCATTCTAGGGATGAAGTTTCATGATTGATCCTTGTGAGGGAGTTTGTTACGGTTCTTGAAACGAGGTGAAAATTACGAAAGTGATCAAATTTACTAGAATATTTATAACTTCATTGGTCAACACCTAGCGAGTTTGCTCATTTTTCAACCTTCATTTTACTAGAATATTTATAACTTCATTGGTTAACTCTGTTAACCAATGAAGTTATAAGAATTCTAGTAAATTCGATCACTTTTATAATTTTCACTTTGTTTCAAGAACCATAATAAGCCCCCTGAATCGATCCCAAGAACCGTAATAAGGGTGCTATTTCATTCATACGTTTTTACGTACCACAAAATGTGTGCAGAACAGAGAGATCCTATAGCCAACTAACAAGCTTGAAAAATTTGTCATACAACAAAAACACACAAATAAAATATTACCCTAAGTCGCCTAAAGGTCGATTGTGTGTCGATTAATTCGATGCATATTAGAATAGTTCGCACATCTCTAATGCCAGCTTTGACTTAAATAAAGAGTTGTAAATAAAATATAGAATACGCAACAAAATTTTTAAAACCAAAAAATTTCGTGATCTAGATTTTATAAAATGGTGTGTAAATTTGCAATATAAAAGTGATGTGTGAAAGAGATGTGTAAATTATTCGAATACAAATTTGAGTAGTTTGTATATCTCTTTTGAGTTGACCTTTAAACTGTGTAATTGTAAAATTATTATTTATTGCTTATCATATTTTTTATAGACTGGAAGGCTAATACCTTAAAAAAGATTGCAAAGCACGAGATTTATATGAGAACAGGTGGCGGATAACTGCAAAAGATTTGCAGTTATCTGGAACAGAGAATGCTCTTTAAGAGATATTTCGGAAGATAGATTTACAGATATGACTCCAAGTTATGATAAAACTTCGAATTCATTTGCTTTATCTCTAATATTGAAGAAAAAGAAAATGAAATATTTTTACTTGATGTTTAGAACAATATAATAATTCATATAATCACATGAAATGCATTCTCTTGTTCAACAAAATAAGTAGAATATGCAATTACGTATGTCATTAAATAATAACATATAGTATACATCCAATTGAAAATAATAAAAATGAGGTGTCTTACAAATTTTATTTATTAGTTTAAAAATATGAATTAATAAATTTATTTCTTTTTAATTAGTTTTAATAAATAAAACATCCATAATAAGACAATAAAATAAATAATTTTTTAAAACATAAAAAGCGCACAATTCAACAAAATAGTAAAGGAAATAAATGTGAAACAATTGTTATACACACAATGTGAGTGTATATCAAATTAAAAATAAGGAAAATTGAGTATGCGTGTAAGATTTATTTAGGCGCATACTATGTATTACTTTTTATAAATATAGATTAATGTAGATTTAACTTTATTGTATTTTACTTTACTATATTTATACAGGAACAAGATAAAACAATATGTGCATTATTTTTAGATGATGCAGAGGATTATATTGCAAATCATTCAAAAGGTATATAAAGTTTTTTAATAAAATGTATTAATATCATTAAAATAAAAAATAGATTCCTGCTATTCTAACAAATTGCTCGAAAACGTTAAAAAAACATTAGTAGTCGGTGTAGAAAACATATAGTGCGCAAAGTGTTAATAGTAAATTACTTTGATAGTTTGCCGACATCAAATATAAAATTCTCTGAAGAAGTGAATGAAATTGATATAATACATCAGAAAATTTTGTGTGTATTTTATTTCGACAATTATAATATTGATAAACCATTAAAATAATTTAACACTATTCATTGTTTTCCACGCCGACGTCTCTTTAACATTTTCAATTAATATCATTGTTTAACTTTATTTATATTTAGGTGTAAAAAATCACGGTTTATAGACACAGCCATTAATTTATTAGAAAAGAAGTCAACAACGTCCGAGAATATTAAACAGAAAATTTTAGAATTAAAACAGAAAAAAAATAAATTAAAAAAAGATTAAAAAAAGAAGAATGAATTGTTCTTAAAGAAATTCTACAGCAATTACGAATGATCTTATATTAACTATAAAGAATTAATAAGACAATACTTGACAATAGATCTTAAATAAATAAAGATATGTATTATGCAAAAGTTACTAAAGATATATGTATTCTATGATATATCATATTGTTCCTTTATATATACTATAAATTTTTAAATTACTAAGTATAATCAATTCATGTTTGTTTGGTTTCTTTTTTCAAGTGCAAAAATGTAAAGTTCTAGCTCAACATATTTAAGTACCTAATATTTTGGCCAAAGCTATATATACATATGTATGTGTAATTCATGTAGCACATGTTTAAACTTGTGATGATACAAATTATAACTTTTACTCTGTGTGAACAACACTATCATCAAAATGATTTTATTTTATAGAATACGAGAAATATATGATTAATAAAAAAATTAACATACTTTAAATATATATTAGTGATAACTCTGTAAATTGTTGCTTGTTTGCATACAACAATAAATCGTGCCACTAGCAAAATTTAATATTATTCTTCGTAATATTATACTGTTCCACTAAAAAATGTATCACTTTATGTAATTATATCTTATTTACACGTTATTTGAGCGTTTCGCTATTGTATGCCATTTAATCCCTCCACTGCGATATTTAAATTATAGGCTGTTTGAGAATTGCTGGACAAGTGTTAATAATTCTACATAAAAATAATAAATTCTTCCGCGTCCATTCGTTAATGTTTATCCATTTGTACGATAATCATTACAAGTCGCAGCAATACATCTCTGAATGTCATAACATACATCTTTTCTATCAAGCATTACGACTTATAATTAATATGCATGAAAATAAATCACAAGTGCTTACATTGTTATTATATATTTCTTGCTGTCACTAAATGCATAATAAATATGGAGAAACAAATTATATAGAGAGTTAACATTTACATTTTAACGAAGAAAAATAGGATATACATCCTCGTTTCTTGTATCACTTGTTAATTTGGATAATAATAAAAAAGAAAAGACTATATTTAAGCCTTACAACTTATCTCTTCAGTAACAATAAAAATAATCTCTATCATTTTTATATCGTTATCGCTTAAACTTAATTCTGACAGATTTTTCTAATTTTCCAATCCGTGATTCTTAATATTCTTTTGTGAGCCTGTAAAGACACAGGATTCTTCTTATGAGAATCTTTTCAGCATGAATACTTCATTTAGTCTCTTGTAAATATGTTAAAAAATATAATCTTGCACAATTGTGTAGCTCGAGACATTCGCATCTGGAACGTAAAAATGTTTATAATGTTTGAGATATCGAAATGTTAATTTAATGTGATTATGATATTTGAATATTTTGTTAAATTAATTTTTTTAATTTTTAATATTTAAATAAAATAGTGTAAAATTTTTTATTTTGTAGTATTAAAGTAACATAATTTATGAGTAAATAAATAATATAAAATAAGTTTTTTTTAAATGTAAATTCTAAGATAAAAATATACAAGTTTTAACTTTTATTATCTTTAAAAACAAATTTCTAGCTATTTATCAATTATTGACGTGCATAAGAATCTTTCAGAAGTTAATTGAACTTTTTATGTGCTAATTATGAAAATATTAAAAAATGAAAGGAAACGCAACCTTGTCTATTCAAAATACTATCGAACAACATTCCGTCGTATTTATCCAACATTATTTATGTCCGTAATTGATTAACGTCTCAATGCGAAATTTTTCATTTGTAAGCTTCAATAATACTAGCTAAAACTGAAAGTGACTCACTGTGTCTGATACTGACTGGCTAAAATATTGAGAACCGGTTTTTGAATGATTTATAGTAATGTTTGCGATACAGTTTGTGATTTGTGATCAGGGTGAGCGTCCTTATTTTCGAGATGATTAATTATAATCTTAAAGATTTTTGATAAATTAGTTTTTCATATTTTCTATTTCGATATTTCCATTATTTCTTTTTTTCGTTCATCTTTCTTTTTTTTTTCGTTTTATTTCACTCTTTTTGGCGTTTAAATTCTCGAGGTAAGGGTGCTCACCATGATAGGATAATTTTTATTCACAGTTTATGTATGTTAAATTTTTGTTGTTTTTGATGAGGGCTCAAAAGTGAGCCGAAACATGTAAGCGCGTTTTAGTGAATAAAGAAGTTTTACACTTCATAGATATATTATTTGCGCGCGACATCTTCTGCGCTTGACTCCTACTGCCCGTCATCTTTTCCAATTATTTATGTCAATGTCATTATATTGTATTGGTATTTGTTCATCTATCTCAGTTAAATAAATTTCATTTTCTGGAATTCTCCATTTTATAGCAATATTGTGTAGAACGCAATATGCATTTACAATATGAGCTAGAAAAGAAAAAAGTATTATAATAAATACTAAAGAACATTACATTTTTTAATAAGGTTTTTTTATATTACAAATACAAAAATTAAATTTAATACTTGCGAATTCCGATTGATAATGCAATGCCCTCTCTTTTTGCAAGCATCGTTATCGGCCTTTCTAAATACCTGTACTTCTTTCTGCAAAAGATCGCACTTTTGTAAACTATTCTGTGTATCTGAACTCTGGAGAGCCCAGAATTTATGTGCGTTTATGAATGATTTTAAAAGATAAGGCATAAGCGGATAGGCAGAATCTCCTAAAAAAAATACTAAAACAATATAAGAATCAATTGGCTCAAATGGCCAAATGCCTGCGAAGTTGTGTCATGTTATCAATCATTTCAATATAGAGAAAATATTTATATAGTATTTGAAATATTACGGAAGTTAAAATTACGAATTGATGAATAGAAACATAATGTAAACATAATATTAATATAGTGTGAACAACATATGTAATCATTAGCTATATCTATAAGCCATGATCCTCTTTTACCTGCTTCCTGTTGTCTTTCAAATAATGGAACAAACACGAAGAATGAAAAACTATGGCGTCATGCGTTCTTTCACCATGCATTGCATTTACTGCTAATATTTTGTTATTATAGGAATAAACCTACAAAGAGAATAGAACATATGTACAAATTATGCACTATTAAAACTGTATCTCTTACAGCACTGATTATTTTTATACTTACAATCATCACATTCAATGAATGATATTGTTTCCTATTAATGAAAAGGTGTTCTCGTTCAGTTTGTGGTGAAAAGATTGCAATGTGAGTCCTGTCTACAGCGCCAATTACTCCTGGAAATCTAGTATTTTCAAAAAATCTGATATAAAGAATCAAATTAGTTTGTAGAAATTTTGATCAAACTTTACATATATTACCTGTGTACCTTGTTTAATTTATTGTTTCCTTCTATCTGTTGTTGGAAATTGAATCCAATGTCCCATAACATTTAATACAGTTATATGAATAGAAACGGAGATGGAAGTTGACTCATGCATGATAGAAAATCCTGTCCTACGTTTCTTTCTTTCTTGATAGGAACAGATGCTAAGAAATAAAGTGTTATAAATATCTATAATAAAATCATAACAATTAAAAAAGAGAAAAAAAAATAAAAAAGTAATAATTTACTTGTAAATGTTGAGGAATTGCTGTTCTTCTTTGCGGAACTGACATAAAATTTGTTAATTCTTCAATTGTATAGTTGCTACTTTAGATAATCTGAAACATGTAAATATTGCATAATGTACAATATATATATTTTTTAGAATACACACAATAACATTATATAACAAATTTTTATGAACAAATTTTACATATAATATGCTGATTATATATATTGAATAAGATCCTATTCACCATAAAAAAAAAATTATTAAAAACAGGAATAATTATTAAATATGAACGAAATAAAAGAGGTTAAACGTAACGCACAATGAATACACAAATAAGACATACTACATATTTATATTCCTTACATTTTATTCGTATCCATTGCAAACATATATGTATAGCCTAATTGTAATCTAAAATAAAATATAATTTTTTTTACATACACATATAATTTGAGAAATGTGTTATCCCGAATATCAAACGAATTTCTTAAATTTCTCCTTATTATATTTAAATTGTTTTTTCGACGTCTATTTCTATTTCGTTCTTCTTCCATCAGCAATAATATAGCAATAAAGTCCATTATTTATAACACTTATTACGGCAATTGTGCTGAACTTGTGTCGAACTTGCAGAAATTAGCATCGTATTGGTTATAGTGTCGATTAACATAAATTTTAGGTATACTATACCAATACGATGGAAAATTTCCGCAAATTCGACACGATTCGGCACAATTTGATTGAGGATACGGTCAACGTGATGCTACAAACGCTTTGAGTGTTTTTTAATTGGTCAGTTTGTGAAATTCTTTCTTCTAATTGGTCCATCAAATGCTTCAAAACATTTGTAGCGAGACTTTGACCTCGACTTGAGACTTGAATTCGACATCTGTTTATTCGCGTGTTCTTCGCGTTAGAATGCCGGACGCCGACTCTAACACCGAGTCGATACAGCTAGAATCTTAAATGCCGCTTATCCGGTGAGTAACAAAAAACAATATGCGAAAGTCTAAAAGTAACATAAACTCAATTGCGCGTTTGAAGCCGGTCACACTTTCCAAAAATAATGACGCAATAACACGTCAGTAGACTCATCGAGACTTTTACTTGTTCGCGTCGCATGCTCCAAATTAATCCAGAGAGCACTTGGATTACAGGTAAGGTGATGGTACAGCATTGGGTTGGAGAGCAGCATTGGGAAGGTTGGAGTATTGCATTCATGTTGATTCATGTACACAATGACACGAACAGATTTAGGCCAAGTGAGCCTGTCACTTAACCTAATCCGTGAGACTACTTGAACGGATCGGACATTTGTCTCATTTCGGATATTTTGTTACTTCGTATGTTAGTTGAAAAGCGTTTTTATACAAAATAAATGCGTTTTAATAAATATAAAAGTTATATTATATTTTTATATTTATATCAAAAATATTATTACCTTATTATTAACTTATTTATTAAATGCGTTTTATACAAAATGAATTTGAAATACTTTTTTCGATACAGTAACGTTTTCAATCATTACGCATGCGTGCGTAAATGCCCCAAAGGTATCTTCTAAGGTAAGGCAAATGGACCGTGCTCTTAATCTTTTTCGCGACGCGACATCTAGTCGCTATATTAGTTCCGGTGACACGAACGTATTGGAGCGTGTTGGACATGTGGAGCGTGCGACGCGAACAAACCTCTAAAATTCTTGTCGAACAATGTCACATGAAAAATGTCGCATTTTCACTATGGTGAAAGTTAGTCAATCAAATGAGAGCTCATTTTTATAAATTTTAGGTCTCAAGATATACAATCAGCCTGCTGCGATTATACACGCACAATAGAAAAGCGTATTATTTCGGTATCACTGGCCTAGTTTCCACCGAGGGTTTAAATTGGATCAGAATGTAAGAACCAACTACAGTCGAGCATTCCCCTGTCGTTCGACTGTAACAGGGAAATATTCGACTGTAGTTAGTTGGTTCTTATATTCTGATCCGGTTTAAACCCTCGGTGGAAACTAGACCAATGATACCGAAATAATACGTACGCTTTTAGGCCACTGAGTAAATCTGAAAATGTACAATGAGGAGTAAAAATAAACTTCGGTGTAATACATACATACGTTAGTGTAGATGAGCGCGACGCCAACGTATTTATGTATTTTAACGAAGTACAAGCTCATTTTTGCTCCTCATTTGTACGCACGCGAAAGAAAATGGAATGATACTATTAGGGGCTCCGCACAATAAAAGGAACAAGGAATAGAGAACAAAAAATAAGAATTTCAATTTATCAGAAACTGTGTAATCCACAATACATGATGACATTTCTGATAAGTTGAAATTCTTATTCTCTGTTCTTTGTTCTTTTTATTGTGCGGAACCCCTATGTGAAGTTCTAATGTAGTCCTCAGTGGAGTCTTAAGTCATAGAAAATTAACCAATCAGTAGAATATGAGAAGAATATTTGACTATGATTGATCAATTTTCTATGACTTAAGACCGCTACGACGTCTATTGTAGATCCCGCATTAAGGGTCCTCTGCATAAAAGTCGTAGATGGTTGTGAAGTCTTAAGTCGTAGGGAATCAACTAATCACAATCAAATATAAGGAGAATACTCGATTAGAATTGATCAGTTTCCTACGACTTAAGACTCCACGACCATCTACGATTTCTATGTAGAGGACCCTTAACTCTTATGCGTCGTCTACAATGGACAATAGCAGTAATGGATTAAGGAGTAGAAATCAACAAATCATAGTCGAATGTGAAAAGGATAATTAACTACCGTTGATCGATTTCTACGACTACTTCTTAATCCACTACTACTACTGCCCATTGTAGATCACGCATTAAGGCTGTCGCAGACAAAATTTCTGTAACAGTAACCTTAAAACGTAAACTTAAGCCAATGAGTCAATCAGGATACTGCTTTAGATCTATGTACTCTAAATAAAACTGGAAATAAAAATAACAATAAACTTATTCATAAGGCGAGTTTCAATCGGTTGAAATTCGCCTTATTGCGAGGTTATGGAAGTTTACTGTTATTTTCATTTCCATTAGATTATGTAGACCTAAAGCAATATCCTGATTGACTCATCGTTAAGTTTATGTCTTACGGTCACTGTTGCGGAATTTTGCGGCAGCCCTAATCAACTCTAATCGCCCTAGGATCGGTTTCACCAACGACAATCAAGTTTAATCATGATTAACTGTCAATCACAATTGGTCAATTCTACTAAACAGCAAACGCAATTGGTCAGTCAACAGTCGCTTAAGTTAACTGGCGTTAGTGAGACTAGCCCCTAACGAACGCGTTTGAGTGAATAGAAGCTACGGTTGGAGGAAGTAGGAGCATGTTGGAGTATGCAACGCGACAAACCTCTTGACTCTATGAACATCTATAGATAGAGAGGGCGGAGATGTAGAGAGAGATAATGTCTAACTGCATATACGACACACGTTATCCCTTCCGCCATGGGGCAGAAAGGTGTGCGTGCGAGTGATAACATAGTGATTGGTGATCAGTTGTGATTTTCTGTCGTCGCATGTTGTCGATTTCTCGCTCGCGTTTATTTATCGTCATCGATCGGTGAATGACAAGCATCGCTCGTCCGAGGTATATGCGAGCGCATATCGTCGGGATATCAACCGGCCGTGCAATCGCTCTCATTGCGAAGGCGATCTCAATGGAACATTAGGCCTGTTCTTTTTGGCTGAACTTTTGCACCAGTTCATCTTTCTTCCTCTTCTTTCTTACTGGAAGAAAAGGAAGAAAGCTGAACTAGTGCAAAAGTTCAGTAAAAAAGAACAGACCTGTTGACGGTTTGCAATTCGATCGCGGCACCTGCAACAGTAAGTAATCCTTACTTTAACACCCCTCGGCTCTTTTTGCCTTTTTCTCCTTCAGTTGTTTCTCGCGCCTCTCCGCATTAGCTTCGTCGTTTCGCTCGGAGCAACTCGGAAGCGTCTCCACGTGATTACATCGGCGCGTGGCGAGGCAGTGAGCTTTGTTCGGGAATGACGTAACAAAACTTCGTATTTCCACATGGCTCGCGACCACAGAAGGTCAATTGTGTATCTTAAAACGAGATGAAAATGATAAAGGAATCAATCGAAATTCTTTTTCATAGAATGGGAGGAAAGAAAAGATTCTGATTATTTGATTCGCTTGTGCACTATGCGTTATGCGTTATGCAAAAGTCTGTGCTGCGGCCTTAAAAGTGAACAGATTTACTAGGTGTTGATCAATAAAATTTTAAATATTCTAGTGATGTGTTCACTTATAATTTTCGCGTCATTTCGAGATACATTATCAATTCCCAGTTATGTCTTATGGCACTTGCTGCACTATCTCCATGAAATTTTTTCGAAATGATTCTCTGTTTCTCTCGATGTATCGTGAGTGATTTTATTGTGATTCTTTTGGAATCCTCTATCTACGTTTGCTGAGATAAAAGAAAATCAAATAAATGTATAATGCCTATCAAAGCTAATAAAAGAAAATTCCGGGAATTCCGGCAAACCGGTTTTACGAGTATTAGTTGACTCAATGTAGTTAACTGATGTTCGATTATCTGTTCTTTTCTGATTTTGTTTATAACGAAAGAGAATTGTCTATTAATATTTGAAAAGAAAACGAAGTGAATTATGATATTATTCTTCAAATTCTATGTTCATTGTAATATACAACAAATTTTAAAACGTCAAAATTATTTAATTCTATCGACATCATTTGAGATCAGATACATAGTAATGTATATGTTGGAAAAATAGTCATAATGTTGATAAAGTTAATTGTTTAGTATGAATTACTTATTAATTAAAATGCTCTTGAATTGAATTAAAAAAAAATTGTTTAACTAAATAAATAAAAAAACTAAAAATAGTTTTAATAAAATCAGGTTTGAAAGAATTAATCAATTGCTATTTACACTAATAAAGCACGTCTGTATTTTCACAGAATATACCTTTGAGATTAATATTTTGTTTTTGTTTATTTATTAATTAAATTCTTTTCTCTATCCTTATTTTATTAAAAAAAATACATCGGTAAATAAACGATGCATAATATTTTCTTTGCATTGTAGAATTTTCATGTCGAATAATCCACAGTATGTCAATAGATTGATATTAAATTTGATCAGAAATTGTTAGCAAATTAGTTAACTGTATTCATATTTATTTTGCATATTGCCGACAGAGTCTGACATAATGATAATGTACTGGCGGTAGAAATCTATCCGCCGAGCGAGCGGAATATATCGAACACAGATTGCGCTCTGCATATACCTGCCGTCAATATACGTAAATTATGCAATAAATACATCGATATCTGTTTGATTTCTTGCCAATCGCATTTTGTTGATAAACTTTATTATATTTCTGCCAGCATTTTGTCAACAACATTGCATTCTTTAATAAATGAACTAATGTATCTCGTACTTAAAGTGAAGTAGATATATTTAAAGTTTGGTGAAACAGAAAGTTTCATTTTATAAAAAGTATGAAGAATAGTTGGTCAGGGCACCTATCATGGAATATATTGGAATGAATTCCGATCAGAATTATTCCGTTTTTACAGAAAACATAATAGAAATCTAGAGAATGAATAATAGATACCCTAGCCTTAAATTTGTACATACTTACGTATTATGAAATTATTTAGAATAGATTGCGGTCGGAATTATTTCATTTTTCCTAGAAAACAATAGAAATCTGAGGAATAATCGAATAATTCTAATT